TAAATTAATCATTTTTCCTATCTTTTACTAATTAATAAAGATTTAAAACTCTCCAAATATTTCAACTAGCACTATTATACTATATCTTGTTTATCGATATATTTATTTTGTTAAACTCTTAAAACTGCACTTGGTACTATAATTTGTGTGTATTACTAAATAATTTTTAGATTGATTAAAAATTTAAAATAATCATAAAATAAGAAAAATACTTTTTTAAGTTTTTTTTACGCACAAGCTTTGTCTAGACTCGCCTAACCCGAAACGTAGAACACTGTGTACATGTGAATTGACTTTTTTATTTTTTTATATTTTGAATTTGATGACATTTTTATTCTAAATTTCTTTATTTTCTCATTTATTTATTTTAGTGGCAAATAACATGCCATAAAAATATTTCACCAAATCAACTATTTATAACAAATCGAATTGACCTATATCCATATTTGATCTATTTAATAGATTATCGGATTCGGATCATGATAGGTTATTGGACTGAGACTAAATTTATCTCCTATTAATTTCATCGGGTTCGGATCAAAATTAGGGATGGCAAAAAAACTCGACAAACTCAATGCCCGCGGGGCCCCGCCGTTCGCTTAAACGGGTAACGGGGGCCCCGCCCCGTTAAATTTTTTATTTATTTATTATTATCTTTTTTAGAATTCAATATTTCAAATGAAAATTTTCATTACTTTTAATAGAAAATAGCAACTAAAATTGTTTGTCTAAATATCATGATTATAGGCAATAAAAATAAATTATCAAAAACTGAAAAAAAAAAATTTAAACGGGAATAAACGGGGATAGGACCTACCCCGCCCCGCCCCGCCTTGCCTTAAACGGGTAACGGAGCGGGGGCGGGGAGAGCCCCCCACCCCGTTGCCATCCCTAATCAAAATCTAATCAATTGACAGCCCTAAGTGTAAGCCACAAGACAAACCAGTAAATTAATTCAAACAAAATTTAAAATAAATTCGTTATAAATCATAAACTATTGTATAAAATCCATAACAAAATATATTAACAATATTAGAAGTCTAACTTGCAAAAAAGGTAATAGAAATCAATAATAAGTTTTCGAATGAGTAACAAAATTGCAATGTAATCTACTATTAGAAGTAGAAATAGCCTAAAAATTTCTCAATTGATCACTACCTAAGAGGCACAATTACATACACACGACACTGGATATCTCATCATTATTTTTCAAGAAAACTAACACTTTGCTTTGATAGATTATAATTTCCAAGTCCACTTGGGTAGTATATTGTATACTTTGGACCTAACCGCACTATTTTGTTCTTTGGCTTTTATCCAAAAGGCCTCGTACCAATTGGGATTGATCCTTTCACTTATAAGACCTTTTAAATGAAACCCCAAGAACAAAACCATTCGAGTTAGGCCCAAGGAGGATAATATTATACCAAGTGCCACTAGATTGGGATGTTACATAAACTATATTTTACTACTTCTGGAAATAGAAAAAATGCAGGTACTACATATATAAAAAAATTTGACATGAAGTTCATAGATTTTATTACTTTAATGCTTTAGTAACTATATGTTTCCCCCCTAATATTGTTTTCCAAAATTTATAAAATGAGGATTTTCAATACCCTTGATGTGATGCGAACATGTTCCCCTTTTTAGAACTACAAGGAATATGA